TGGCATAGTTCTCTCATAGACATTCAGTTTAAACTGGTAGTTAGTGGCTTCGAATCAGTATTTTTTACTTCTGGGGTGCAGAGATGAACAGATGTTTCATACTTTGTTAATTATTTGCTTCCAACGTCATATAAGGTACCAAAATGATCCATGTAATTTCGTCTTGAAGAATAATTAAACAAATTCCAAAACTAGGACTCCAGAGGTCAAAAGGTCACCCTTAGGGTATTTAACTGAAATTACACATTTTCGGGTTTCATTTCTCAATATACCAATAGTTACCCAGTATAAATGAACATATAATAAATTTTAATCTTTTCTTACTTTATATTATCAAAATTTATATCACACAGTACTTCTTTTTTTCGCTATGAAACCATTGATCTGTAACTAATAATCCACGTGTACATATAGTAGGGCTAGTGAAATAATTACAAAATTTCCCATAATTCCTTTATATAATGTTATTCTAAACAAAGCAATACATATTAATTTTAAAGAGGCCAATAATAGGTCATAAGGTCAACCCTAAAAAGATTCGGAATCTACATTTCTGTTCATCGTTTTTGTTGTTTCAAATTATAGCAGTGACGTCTTAGTCGCATCATTCTCTTAGGTGTTTATTCGTTAACATTCAGGAGTAAGGCTATAACATATTCACTTGGTAAAAATACCTACTTGAGGCACAGAGTATATCTCGTATATACTAACTAAGTTCATCAAGCTCATGCTTTTCATCCCCCTACTTATTATCTTTCCACAAGATTATGTTTGGATGTTGTGACGCTTGCAGTATGATGTGCAGGACATACCTACCTGCTGACTTGCAGCTACAAGTATTACGTGAACATGCTTTGTTCGTTGCACATTCACAGGTGACTACTTCTAGTAGCTTTGTGTCACAAATAGCAATCTCTGAGATTCCGTCAACCAGTGTCCAACTAAAATCTTCAATATTTACTGAAGGTGGTCCTTGCTAGTCAGATTATTTCCAACGTAGAATCTGCAAATATGAACTTAGTGTATGTTGTGACAAAGCTCTATGATTTAGCGGTAGGATTTTTTCTTGAGTGTATCTTTTCTGCTGGCAAAGATACCCTGTCTAAGTTCTTTTATGGTCATCATAGCTTTGTAACCATGTATCACATAGATGTCAGATTTTAAAAAATATAATATTATATATATATATATATTTGTTCTTTTTGCCAGTTGTTGAAATAAATGGCTTTTACTTATATTTCTTAATAGTATAAATATATACTATGTCGTTGTTGGGCTTAGGCTTCTTCTACAGTAGGTGTCT